CTAACCCTAACCCTAACCCTAACCCTAACCCTAACCCTAACCCTAACCCTAACCCTAACCCTAACCCTACTTCCCAATTCACAAGGTGACGCATTTTGAGCCGTATCTAGGCCGCCCAGCAGCGCCTGCAGGACTACCTCGACTCTACACAGCCATGCTGATTACTATGGATTGCCAGCTTGCCGTCAAGGCATTCCGACCAACGATTGAAACCTAGGGGCGATGGCTCGGCGGGTCATCGACGATGCTCTCGTTCTTTCTGATGTCCTGCCACTTTGGCCCGTTGCACACTCAACGCTTTCGCTCTCACACACGACCTCAGATGCAGGATGCTGGTCATCAGCAGACGAAATGTGGGTCCTCACTCGCGCTAAAGTCACCGCATACCCTTGTAACCCTAAATCCGATCCGCATGCGAGCTGCTCATTTCTCGGCGCTTCATGATGTTACCTAAGATTATCTTTTTGCATCCCGCGAGATGCACATCCTTGAACAGCAATCGCTTGCGGTCTTCCAGAGCGGCAAAGCTTGGTATGGCTCCTGCGGCGTTCGCTCTGCCGTCGACTGCCTAGACATTCACCACCGTCCTGTCTCGGCACTCCTCTGCTCAGGGCAAATTATTCTCACGACTCGCGCGTTTTAGGCCACCTGCCCAATGCATTCGCCTGCGGCCAATTGCAGCAACAGCTTCAGGCCCTCGCGGGTGTCAAGTTGGCGCCTTACCATCAGCTGACGAAGCTGACCGGGACTCGGACCCGCAAGGCGTCGGAGCACTTTTACGGGACTCGAATCCGTAGGTCATCAGAGCACTCTGCGGGACTCGAACCCGCAGGTCATCAGAGCACTCTGCGTGATCACCAAGATCCGCAAGGCGTCAGAGCCCTCTGCGCGATCACTAAGACCGGCGAGCATCGCTTGCGCACCCGCAGAGCGCCAGAGCCGTGCAATCTCTGCAGCCTGACTCTCATCGATTGCCTGTCACGCTCTCTCACTTACATGCCCCCATGGCATGCGCGTGGCGTGCTGCATCTCCACCATTTTATCGCTTAGAAATCTTCAAAATCAAGCTCTGCAGACGTCCAGACGCGCCGTTTTGGCAGAGCATGCTCTGATATCCTCGACTGACACCATTAGGCTTGCTTGCGAGCGAGGGCTTCTATTTTGACGGCCAAATAAAGCGTCAACAGGTGCAAGCGTGAAAAGATACACGCGTGCGCGCGCGTTTGCACCCATTCGAAATGATCCACCGCGCTCGGTAGAATGTCTGGTCCGCCCGCGTCTGCCACGCACCAAGCATCGCAACATCGCGCGGTGGGAGACGTTTGCAAAGTTTCCAAAGCCTAGCTTTGCGGGATAGTCTCCAATCAATCTGGACGCGCTCTTCAGACCGCCGCATGCCCAATGGATAGTCTCCACGCATCTCCAATGCGCTCGTTGGCCTCATTCAGACCGCCGTGTGCAATGATCTCTAGGCCATTCTTGGTGTCAGTGGCGTCAAAGGCAAACCAGCCACGTGGCTGAGGAGCGATGCTGCTGTTGGCGACCTTCGGCTCGATGCGCAGCCATGCAAATGTGCTCGGCTCGCTCGATGATCGCAAAAGAGCGTAGACGTCGTCGAGGAACTGCAGCGTGTGGACTTGTGTCAGCGAGCATCCGTTGCACAGCGATCGCAAACGCCGGCTCACTTTACCTGCTCCATCGTGCCCCAGCTCTTTTGGCGCACCTTCGCCCTCGCCCATAAACATGATTGCTACAGCTTTCGCCTCGCCAAAGGTGCTGTGCGATATAGACTCTGCGCCCGAAGGATACGGCACGAGTCCATGTACGGAGCGCTTGTATGGCTGGCCGCTGATGTCCAACAAAGGGACCTCGGATGATGTCCAGGTTGCAGACTTGATGTCAAAGATGTCCAACGGACCTCCAAGCTCGTATCTGAGAGCACAGATGCGTCAGTGCCCTCGCAGCTCTCGATCTTGCGCCCGCGCTCTTGATCTTGCGCCCACGCTCACCCGCAAAACCCGCCCCATCTTATGAGCTGCTTCGCACCGGTTGGACCCTCTATTGCCGTTAGAACCGTGCCCCCACGACCAGGCTCCGGCGCAGAGGGCATAGTCGACCAACTCAAATTGCCCAACTCGATGCTCTCGAGAGAGGCGAGGCGGCCTGAGCACAAGACCGCCGTGATGGGTGAGCAGTAGCCACAACTAGCGCGTGAGCAAGCGACTCACCAGAGGCGGGACAACCAGCATGGACGAAGAGCCTGTCGCCTGCGATTGCAGCAGTGTGATAAGAGCGGTCCTGCGGAAAGTCGCTCGCTGTGCCCCTCTGCGTCTGGAGCTTAGTCCACTTCTCCTGAACGGTATCGAAGCGCCACATGTCGTCCGTATGCTGCTCTCCATCATCTCTCCGGGTCTCGATGGGCGACATGTCCTTGCCTCCCCGGCCTCCCCAGAGATACAGCGCTTTGGATGCAGCGTGTGCCACCATGGACGCTCCTACTCGCGCTATTGGCCATGCTTGGGCTGCAGAAGCGGGCTTGACAACACGAGATGGGTCTTAGGATGCGTGTGTATGCGCGCGCAGGTAGGTGCGTGAGCGACGCTCGGCACCTGCTGAAGAGATGTGCGCTAACCCACCTTTGCCATCCAAGTCGACGACGAGCACCTCGTTGCCAATCGGCGTCCTCGGTTTGAGTTCTCCTCCACTGCAGCACCGACTTGTCAGCACTACGAGGCCGACTGGGTAGCGTGGCCCAGCACGTGACTCACAAGATGTATGCTCTCCTTCCCACGACGGAGAGGCAGTGACTGGAGCGCGAGATGAGGTTGGCTGGCAAGCCGGTGAGATTGATCGGTGTCCACGTGGCTTGCATTGTGTCCTACTGGGATGCGGTGGTGGTGGTGGTGGATATGCAAACCGTGACGAGCGATGGTGAGCCTGATGGTCTGAGTGATCGCTTGGAGTTCCGCCCAATGAGTCTGAGTGCTTGCTTGGATTTCCGCCCATCAGTGATCGCTTGGATTTCCGCCCCCCTCCCCCGTCGCCGTGCACCTTGTCGGTTATGAGAACGCGGAAGCTGTTGCCTGATTAACCCACGACTGCGTGCATGGCGCTCAGGCTGATTAAAATGCCCGCTGCAGCTGTTGCGTCGCACGCGCAACACGCATCCTCCCACGTGACCCGATCCTTCTCGCGGCAGCGTACACACAACAACACTTTTGACTCAACTCGAGACTCAAGACTCACGACTCGAGATTTCAGGCGACGGACTCCATCACCTGCCTGCCTCCTCTGCCCTCATCTGCGCGCATACACGCATATGCGGCAGCAAACTGTGGCTGCTGAGCGCTCCCTGCTCACGCTCTGCACTCCACGCTCCACACTCCACACTCCACACTCCACACTCCACGCTCGATCTTCCAGTCATCAACCACGTCATGGCCTCGCAGCAGCAGCTCCATGCCGGGGTGGAAGGCCAGGCGGTTGACTCTACGCACGCCAAGCCTGCTCAAAGCGCGCCCCACGTGCGCGGATCAGCAGCTTGCGTTCACCTGACACCCTACGCGGGCGAGGCGCAGCTGCCCATCATCGCCTCGCTCATTGAGCGTGAGCTGAGCGAGCCGTACATCGTCCACACGTATCGTTATTTTCTGCGCGGCTGGTGAGTGGCTGCCAACTCGCTCGCCGCTGCATCGCAAGCACGCGTGGCTGAACATTCTTTTGCAACGCCTTTTTGCGGCCCTGCGCGCGCTTCACCTGTGCGCCGCTTTCCCCGCACTTTGCTGCTCTTGCAGGCCACAACACACCTTCATTGCTTGGGCCAAGGACGAGGCGGCGACCGCGGCTTCTTCCCTCGAGCGAAGGGCGGACCCCACTATGGATCAAGATGAGACCAGCAGCACAGGCTCTTCTGCTCTTTCGGATCATGAGAGCGACGACGAGCCGGGAGCGCTGTCCATCTCGAAAAGCATTCCAGTCGGCGTGATTGTCAGCAAGCTAGAGGCGCATAGAGGCAGACATCAGAGGGGCTACATTGCCATGCTCAGCGTCGCACCAGAGTGGAGAGGTCGTGGTGTGGGTGAGTCCCGCGCTCAGCGTCGAGTATCCATGGCGAGCTCCGCGCATCTGATCCTCTTTCTTCCGCGCACAAGCAACGAGGCTGGTGCAGCGTGCAGTGCGCGCTCTGGTGGAAGGAGGAGCGCAAGAGGTGAGTGTAGGCTATCACAGTGCTGGTCCACGCTACAGAGAGCAGCTAAGCCCGCACGTATGCGTATGGATCACCGCGCAGATCGTGCTCGAGACGGAAGCAGACAATGTCGCATCCTTGGCGCTGTACGAGAGCTTTGGCTTTGTGCGAGAAAAGCGATTGTTCCGCTTCTACCTCAATGGTGGGTCGACCAAGCGTGCAGACCTGCGCGTTGTCTGGATGCTGACCAAGATTGCGGTTTGTGCGCAGGCAAAGACTGCTTCCGATTGGTGCTGCCAGTCACACAGACCAGTTCGAGCAACGGCGTCGCAGCTTCGGGGACAGAGCCCAAGCGACCTCCATTTCCACCCGCGAGGTTCGAGACGCTAGGCATCGCTTGATCGAGAACGCTTCTCAGCTAATGGCTTTTGCCGCGGCTCTCTGCTGGCCGCATCTACGCGTCAATAGGTTGCGTCTGGATGCAGGCCAGCTGCTGTGGCTGCTTTTGCCGCGTCTCGAAATTTGGCGCGCGCGCGCGCGCGCGTCTTGGACCCTCCTGCTGGACAATATAGCGTGGGACAGTGTCAGCATTAGCCAATCCAACCCTGGATGACGCAGCAACCGTCGTTGCACACACCACGCCGTCATGTGATGACCAATCCTGCAAGGGTTATTCATCACATCCATTCCAGAGCGTGGGCATGCGTCTGTGGATTGGGCACGCCAGGCTTGCCTGCGCAGCCGAGTGCTATTTTCGGCAGGGTCGTCTCCACACACAGCTCGCCAGGGTCAAATGTGGAGACCACCCTGCCGAGAACAGCCCTTCGACGTCTGGCTCCACTTGAGCGAGCCCTGCAATTCATTTAAAGGTCGCGCGTTTCGTCCCCACAGCTTGCACACTTCCGCACCTTCACCCCTACCCATTCCTACCACACTGCAATGCTTCCCGAACCCAGCATGTCGGCCATCGATCGCGTCGCCGAGGCTGCCCGCTCTGCGGCAGATGGCATCGTGGGACAGTCTGGCGCCAACGGTCAACCCAAGAGTAATGGCCGGGCGACCAATGCCAAGCTCGAGCAGCTCAAGCAATTCATCGACTATCCAAAGGAAGGAGAAAACATTGCCACCACCGAGCATGGAGTTCCCGTAGCCAACAACACCGCCTGGCTCAAGGGCGGTGCTCGTGGTCCAATGCTGCTCGAAGATCAAGTCGCCCGAGAAAAGGTTCACCAATTCGATCACGAACGCATCCCTGAGCGTGTCGTGCACGCGCGAGGTGCAGCAGCGCACGGTACTTTCAAGGTCACCAAGCCGCTAGGGAGAAATGTTACTGCTGCGAATGTCCTAAACGACACCTCCAAAGAGACGCCCGTATTTTTGCGCTTTAGCACGGTTCAAGGTCCGCGGGGCAGTGCGGACACGGTGCGCGATGTTCGCGGTTTTGCCGTCAAGTTCTACACCGACGAGGGGAATTGGGACATTGTTGGAAACGATGTTCCCGTCTTCTTTGTTGCCGACAGTCACCGCTTCATCGACCTCATCCACGCCGTCAAGCCAGAGCCCCAGCTCGAGATTCCAACTGGTCAATCCGCCCACCCCAGCTTTTGGGACTGGATCAGCTTGTCGCCAGAGTCTGCGCACATGAACATGTGGCAAATGTCGCCGTACGGTATTCCAAGATACTACCACACCATGCGAGGTCACGGGGTCAACACGTATCGGCTCGTCGGTGAGGACGGCTCTTCTCGTTATGTCAAGTTCCACTTCTTCCCCGAGGTCGGTTGCCAATCCCTCAACTGGGACGAGGCGCTCAAGATTCAGGGTCAGAACCCAGACTTTCATCGCACGGTTCTTGCCGAAATGATCGATGCTGGCAAATTTCCTCGCTGGAAGTTTGCAGTTCAAATCATGGAGGAAGACGATGAAGACACGCACTCTTGGGACCCGCTCGACTCTACCAAGGTGTGGCCCGCTGCAAAGTACCCCTTCATCGAAGTCGGCGAGCTGGAGCTCAATGCGAATCCGACAAATTACTTTGCAGAGACGGAGAATGTCGCCTTCTGCACCAGTCACATTGTCCCCGGAATCGACTTTTCTGATGACCCTCTCCTTCAAGGTCGCAACTTTAGCTACTCTGACACGCAGCTGTCGCGCCTTGGCGGACCAAATTGGCATCAAATCCCAATCAATCGCCCCGTCTGCCCGATGGCCACCTTCAACAGAGACGGCGCAATGCCAATGAAGATTCCCAAAGGAGCCAATTACTTTCCAAACAGCGAGGGCAACGCTACCAATCTCGCACCGACATTCAACAAAGCCGACACGCTCACCAACCCTGAAGCGTTGCCTGGACAAATTTGGCACGACAGCGCAAAGCGTCTCGCTTCTGGTGAGAGTCGGCAAGGCTTCTCCTCGTATCCAGAAGACCTCGCGCGTTTGAATCGCCTGAAAGCGCTCAAGCTGCGCACCAACGGTCCAAAATTCGCCAACTACTTTGAGCAGGCACAAATTTTCTGGAACAGCGTTCAGGATCACGAGCGAGCTTCGATCAAGGAGGCGGCCATCTTTGAGCTGAGCAAGGTCCCGGATGAAGAGGTCAGAAAGCGCATCGTTCACTTGTATAGGCACATCAATCCTGACCTCGCCAAGGCAGTAGCCGACGAGTTCAGGCTAAATGTCCCTACCGACGCAGCTATTCCGATCTCACAAGAAACGTATCCAGAGCTCAGCTTGCACTATGAGAACGTTCGCACCATTAGGCAGAAGCGCATCGCAATCATCAAGCTGGACGGCACGCCCGAATCTGAAATCGAGACGATCAAGAAGCGCTTCGAGTCGGGCGACGCACTCGTCTTTATCATCGACCACCGCGGATTGGATGCGATGAGGAGCACACTGTTCGACGCCACCTTTTTGCCACTGACCAACGAGGAGTCCTACAGGGTTGCGCGATCCCACGGTCGCGTCAAGCACTGGATCCGCGAGTCGACTGGCCACCTCAAACCCCTCTTGATCAATGGTTCCTACGGTCTAAGCCTCGTCAAGCAAGTCATCACAAACGAGGCCGAGGGCATCAAGGCAGCCGTTGGGGACGACATTGTCAGCTCTTTCGGAGTGATCACCAGCGCTGCCGAAGCGGCTTCGAGTCAGAAACTGGTAGACGCATTTGTCGAAGCCGTAGCTCACGGTCGCCACTACGCCAGACCCGGCGTTGCTTCGCTCGCCTTCTGAACGCGTCTCTCGTGCATCACGCTTTCATGACCTGCATGCACGCATCCATCGCAAACACGCAATCCATCGTAAAGTGAGCGCTATTTTCCCATGTGTGAACACAGTCACCGATGCAGCATGGCACTTTGCCTTCTAATCTCCTGTGCAGATAGACGATGCGTGGCTGCTTCGGACGGCTCGTCTGCGAGAGTCAAGGTGAGAGCAGGTACTGTGACCGTGACGGTGCGTCAGCTTGGCACATGTACCGCACTGCGCACCTGCACGCCCCCCACTCACTTGGCCGATCGGTCCCGTCAGGCTTGAGCAGATCCTCTAGCAAAAATCCAAAGCTTAGCCCAACCTCTTTGAGCTGACTGGCGCTCGACTTGGTGATTTCGATGGCTTCGCTGACAACTTTGGGATCTTGATCCGCCACGCCGTACACTTGCCTTCTGAAAATCTCGGCGTACGCTTCAATCTGCGCTGACGCCCAGCGCACAAAGCCTGGGCGGGCGCAGCACGTGAGGGGTGCAAAGTCAGCTCGGCGACCAGCACCGCATAGCACACCGCACGCGCCACTCACCGCTGGCCATTCGATTGTCCTTGAACGCGCTCATGTACCACTCGCTCGTGTTCTTGACCAGCGTAAAGTGCACCAGCGCCAGTTCAGAGATGTACAGGCTGACATCACCCTCAAACTTGATTTGCCGGCTCCTCCTTCTCAATAGCTCGGATCTAGCTGCCAAGAAGATCTCGCGCGCCTTTTCGCCCTTGTCCAGACGCAAAAGGTACGAAGCGTTGCGCACCACGCTAGTCTTTTTGAGGTACGGCGATGAGAGGTCGTGCGTGATTGCTGCGACCAGGAGGGATGTGTGGTGCGCTAATTTCGCTGACAGACTTTGATGCGCAGGATCAGCCACATCGTACGTGGATAAAGCTCCTTTCCCTGAAAAGAGTCGTCACAGCAGCTCAGCAGCCTTCGAGATCCAAAGCACGCTCCACCAGCGCACTCACCCTTCTCGACCATGGCGACAGCGTCGCCCCATTCACGGAGCGCAATGGCAACGGCAAGCTCGTCGCTGAAATCATTGATCCATCTACCAGGGTCCTTCTTCTCCGTGGCAGCAGTAGCCGCAGCTGCTGCCAAGACGCTACCATTCTCCCCCGTGCCGCTCGAAGCTCCATGCGGACCCAACAGAGTGCTAGCGTGAATCTTACCGCCGGCCGTTGTTCGCGACATGGCGCCTCCAGCACCACCACCGACCAGCGTGCTCTCTCGCTTCCTCGCTTCCGCTTCGGCCAAGCTCTCCTTTCTGCGCTTGTTTGCTAGCTCTTCTGCCACTTTTCTAAACGCGTTCAACAAAGCTCTCTTGTCCTCTGCTCGCTCCGTTCTGTACACAAAAGTCTCCTTGCCGCGCTTGATCTTGACCGCATTGGTAAGCTCGCCGCCGTCTTTGAGATCGATCACGATGATTTCTCCCAAGCTGAAACAGCGCTCTGCGACCAGTCTCACCCTCGCGCTCATTTGCCTCTTTTTCCGCACAGCTACCAGCAGAAGATCGTCCAAAAGGAACAGGGCGACACCTTGTTTGGGCTTGTACGTGGCGGCATTCAGCTCCGTGAAGGAGGAGGCTTCGGCAATGAGGTGCCGGCCTGGCACGTACGGCAAGAACTTTTGCGAGCCTTCGATGCCCTCCCACAGCGACATGAGCTGGGCGCGGTAGACTTGCTGCAGATCGAGCATGCTGTTGCGCCCACTGCGACTGTATCGCCGCAGGTCCGGATCGGTGATGCCTGCGGGGTGGAGGAGGAATCGGGAGCGTCAGTGGATTTTGTTGATCGCCCCCGCGAGCATCACGCGCTGCCACTCACCACCTTGCATCTCTTCGAGCTCGAGTGTGCGTGGCACTCGATTCCATTCTTTCAGCAGCTCCTTCAACTCCAGCATGTCATTTTCCAGGCTTCCAATCTCCTTGCTGACTCGGATAAAGTCCTGATAGTTGCGAAAAGTCTCGTCTTCTGCTTGCGCACCGGCGCCGGTCGGTCTGCCTATCTTGGAGCGGACGTCTGCGGCAAAGGCAAATCGTGAGCACAGAGCCGCGCCGCGGCGCCCTTTGCAACCCGCGGCACTCACAGCCATTCTCTTCAGCCGATCGACTAGAAGCCTGACTCGCACCCGCGCTTGCACCCACAACGCCGGCATAGGCGTCATTGTAGCCTGTATGCTCTTGGTCGAAGCCGTCGCCCATGATCGGCAGGGGTCGTTGAGAAGCGTAACCTCCTGCTCCTGCCCCCGCATGGGACAGGCCACCATAAGCGGCATCGAGCGCGGCATCGTCGTCGTCGGCATCCTGCTTGTTGATGTTAGAGTAGGACAATCCAGCAAAGTTCATGGCCATGCCCGGTGGCAGCTCTGGAGCGCCTGGAAGGACGCTGGGCATGCTCGGCACCTCGGGCACCGCAGGGATGGCTGAGAATCCTCCCGGTCCCAGATGAGTGGGCTCCGCATACCTCATGGACAGCCTCTTCTTCAAATTGGAGCCCACTCCTCCTCCTCCTCCTCCTCCGCCGCCGCCTCCTGAACTCTTGTGCGTCGCATTGACAGATGCCTGATGGTTGCCGCGCTTGCTCTTCGAAGCAGATGCATCAGCTCCGCCGTGATGCTGCGCTTGCCGCGTAGAGGCGTAAGCTTGGTAGTGAGCGCTACCTCCGTACGCTTGAGCCTGAGCATCGCGTGCTTGCTGTGCCCAATTATTGCCCCCATCGCGGTTGCGACCAGATCGAGAAGGACCCGCATCCGTGTCCCCACCGCCGCCTCCAACTGGTGGGATGCTGGGCTGGCTAGAATCTCGAGACGCGTACAGCGTCAGCGGTCGTGTCCGAAGAGATCGTGACATGCTGCGAGTGGGCGATGGGAGTGTGGGGGATCGGATGGCAGAGCGGCACGAAATGGTGATGGCGGTGTTGGTGGTCCTCGTGGTCGTCGTGGTCTTGCTCGGGCGCTGGAAGCGCAAGTCACGAGTCAGGAGTGTGAGCCTCGAGCGAGGGCAGCATGCAACGCAGCGCTCCGTCCGCGGATCTGTGCGTCATTGCTCACGTGATCACCCTGCACCACCGCCTAGCTCACCTGACTTGACTCTTCTACTCATTCTGTGTGACAATCAAAACCCAAGGTGGAGAGCTACATGAGACCGTTCTGACGTACTCTTGTCCAGGCTTTGAAGGTCAATACTTGTCTCTTCGATCACTTCCAATGGCATGCGGCATGCACCATCGCATCGTACGTGCGCGCTGGACCATGCACCACCGCTGCACTACAGACTGTCAAGCTCATCCTACATCATCACGCTTGCGCAGCATGACACCGATACAATTACAAATGCGCTCGCGATTCTTCGCAGCTACGCCACTGCCGCAGCTTGCCCTTGCTTCCTCAGATCATCCAGAACTCGCAACTTGGGCATCTGCTCCTTCTCCCCCCTCTCCTCCCTCTCCTCCCTCTCCTCCAAGCTCTCATCCTCCCTTTCCCGTGCTCCCCTCTGCGCAGCTTTCTTCTCCCTCTCCCTCCTCTCCGTCTCTCTGCGCGAAAGCCAGCCGGAAAAGTCCAGTCTGAGCAGCAGAGCGTCCAAATGCCTCCTAGCCGCGCTATCAGCGTCCAACCTAGCCTCGGTCACCTTCGTCTTTGCCTTGGATGCGTTGGGCCCCTGCCCCTGTGCGTTCTTGAGTCCTGCACCACCACCCGCACCGGCATCGCCACCGCCACCGCCTGTTCGACCTGGGCGAGCATAGGTGGACATGGATACGCTGGCGATGGACGCATCGATTGCCATGCTCGTCCCGCTCGCCCCTCCGCTGCCAGATGCATTGTTGCCATGCGCATCGCGCGCGCCGACACCAGCTGAAGCGGTCGAGAGGAGAGCAAAGAATTCGTCGAGCTGACCGCGCAAGGTCTGCAAAGGGTAAAGCGAGGCGGCGACGGTCAACACGTGCGACGACGACCCGATGCACGGCAAAGCACTCACATCGGAAACATCGTTCATCGCTCTCGTCCTCTCATCGATCGTGTTGCTCACTCCGTCTCTTGCAGACGTCGTGTCCCCAATGCTTCCTTCTTCGAGCAGACCAGGCAATACATCACCTCCCCATCGACTGGCCACCAGTCCCGCAAACTTTTGACACGTGTCGCAGATAGCTCGAATGAGCGTCGTCGCTCGAGGAGACCTCAGCAAGAGGCCATCGACGACGAAAGCCAAAAACGCCGTGTGCGCCGAGCGCAGTGTGGAAAAGTCGAGCTGAGAAGCGCCCTCTGGACCCGTCGCGATGGACCCGCCGAGTGGCCCAATGTGAGAAGAGTGACCCGCTAGCGTCGCAGCTCCGCCGTGCCTGCGAGAAGCGATGACGGATGGCGCACCTCGCGATAGAGCCGCTGCTGCAGCTGCTGCCGCAGGTCCACTGCCATATCTGGACCTGGCCAAGCCGGCCTCTGAAGCTCTGCGACCTGAACCAGAACTCGTTCGCGGACGCGCATCTGGATTGTCGGGTGATACTGGTCGACCAGTAGCGCTGGCCGCCACTCTGGAGCGGCGCAACGCGGCTCCGGAAGTGGATTGTGCGAGACTCCGCCCGCTTGGCTGGGCCGACAGTGGATGGGCATGATCGATCGCATTGATTGATTCGAGCTCCAATTGAGCAATGAGGCGACTGTATTGAACGTCGATGATGTCCGTCTGTGAGTTGTAATGGAGGTCGGTGAGCCGCGTCTGGGTCACATACAAGCCGCGCTTTGCTCACTTGAAAATGCCCGACTAGGCTATCGATGATCCAGAGCCCTTCCCTCGCAATGTTCCAACCGAGCCTGAGCAGCTCCGAGCGCGCGTGCTCCTCCATCGTGTTACCGCCGCCCTCACTCGTGCCGGTGAATTTTCTCCTCAAACGCTGCGCTTTCGACATGCTGGTCCACGCATCCCTCAGTCTGGAGCTTGTCGAGCGCAAGGCCAGCAAGTACGAAAATACCTCGCTGTATGCTCGAGCATCGGTCCGCGTGAGCAGCAGATCCAAGGGAAAGGGGGGCGCGTATGCGACGCAGAACGCAGAACCCAGGGGAATATCCGCAAAGGGTGACCACGCCTCCTTGACTCCGTTGCGAGAGCGTGGTACAAGTACTCGGACGTGCGACAAGAGTTCCGAAGGGAGGTCTGATGCGCTAGCCGCTCGGTATAGCGCTAGATCCACGTCTGATGGCTTGATCATTCCGGCAGCAGCGGTGCGCGTCGTGAGCTGAGTTCGCCGCAAAGAGGAGAGCTCGTTCAGAAAGAAGCTATGAAACAGACCCGAGCGGTGCATGAAGTAGTCGCCGCTGGGGGGATCGGATGCGGGCAGAGCATGAAGTCAGCATCATCACCGCGTTGACGTGCACAGCGTTACGGACGCACAGCATCTGCACAGTTTCCATAACCTGATCCGGAGTGAGGACATTTCCCCACATCCACTCTGCCAATTCGTCGCGTATCCTGTCGAGTCTCAACTTCAGCTCCAGCTGCCTGTTCGCCGGGCTGACTTCGTCTTGGCGGCCAAGCAGCTCGAGATGCTGGTCGCGCATGACGCTCGGCACTCGCACGCTGGCCGGTAGCGCTCTCAGTGCCCTGCCTATGCCCAGTATCGTCTCTGCGATTTGAGGATCGAGGGAGTCGGGACAAGCGTTGGGCGCCCAGCTCCATTCCTGTCGATCTTCCTCCGAACCTGCCAGATGAGCAGGTCGATGAAGCTCTGCTTGCACCGCGTCCACATTTCTTTCTGCCACAGTATTAAGTGGATCCGCCGCTCGGATGCGAACGAACAGGCCGCTGGCGCGCCCGTGGCACACCCAACCGCGAACCCGACGAAGCCAAACGCTCTCGGCAGCGTCGAGGAGCGCCTGCATGTGCTCGCGCGTCGCACCTACCGACGCCTGGGTGCGCATCGCCAAGAGCGACAGCAACTGCGCCGGGGGCCAAGGGCGTGCCGCCGCGCGCTTTGCATCCGCAATGGAGGTCCCCGCGCCCGCGCCAGCCTGTCGCGCTTGATCGAGCACGTAGGCCAGATCAGCCAAGTTGCTCAGAGGTCTGCACCACGGCTCCAGCGCAGCCCTGACACCGGCGAGGGATGAGCAGTGCTGCAGTTCCAAGTCGACATTGACTCGCACAGAGGTGGATGGTGTCGCTGCAAGCTGCTCGGGGGCGTGTTGAGATGCCGCCTTGCCTTGCAGCACCGCTCTCTGCACTTGGCTGACTGCTGATCTCCACATGTCCAAGCGAGCGAGCATAGACCTGGCAACGGCGGCCTGCTCAGCCCCATCGACAAAGGCGACGTGGTGGTCTTCCTCCTCCTCCTCTTCCTCTGCTTCGCCAACCGCATCCAAGTCGCTAGGATTGGCCACGTGCCTCCTTCTCCTCCTGGCGGCGCTCCGAGCTGAGCGCAGAACTTCCTCGGCCCATGTCCGAGCAGTGTGAGCATCCGATGCCAGGGACGAGAGGGACAGGAGCTGGGATACCTCGCCTGGGTGCAGCAAGGATTCGAGTGCTGGATGCAGCGCGTCGGGTGAGGGAAAGAGGCTAGAGGGCACACCATGTAGATGCAGCAGCACCTCTGCGATCATTGTTGGCCGATCGATCGCAGTGCGAATGAGCTTCGTCGTCGTCGATGATGCGCGAGATGCGCGAGATGCGCGAGTACGAGGTGATGGAAGAGCTGCGAGCCGTGCGTCACACGCGCGAGTCTTGAGTCAGAGTCAAAAGTCACGAGTCACGAGTGTGAGTGTGAGTGTCCGCGCACCGGTACACGTGAATCAGAATGCGCCCAAAGCAACACATGTGCGCGCGATGCAGACAGACAGACGCGCGTGCAGAGGGAGAGCGCGACGCGTTTGCCTTTGGCGGGAGAATGCGCGCGCGTGCCCCGATCATCGGCGTAGCGCGCATGCAGCTCACCTGGACCAGCAGCGATCAAGCTCGCTTGCGCATGCATGCAGCAGCGCGCGCGCGTTCAGCAGGGAGTTTAAATTGCACTTTGACTTTGACTCAAGATCTGACTCGAATAGCATTCACGATTGGTGTATGCCATCGCTTCGCGCAAAAAGTCACACATTTGCAAGAGCATCGATGCCGCATGGTATGCTCTCGGATCAAGACTCTTGACGCAAAATATGCCTGGTCGGCTCGAAGCCAAGTCGCGGGGTGGCTATGTATACGGCTTGCTGCTTGCTGATGCTCTGCGCGTGGATGCGGGGAGTGACCGCCTGCATGATCGAGACGTCCCTTCACTCGAGCGTAGCTGGTGCATGGCATGTCGACTGCGAGGGCATATGAAAGGGGGCGGGGCGATAATCAAGTGAACTGCCCCCAAATCCCGGCTCTCCCGGTCCCTGCAATCGTGAATCTTGAATGACCAACGACTGTGACTCACGATCGACATTCGTGATTCACACACCCATGATGTGCGCTGTACGTGAGATTTCTGCACGAGCATATATCCATGGCACTCGGCCGCTTAAATTGACGCAATTAAGGCTTTTGACATCCGACTTAACGAGTCCATGCAGCTTGTGATTGTGATTCGGATTAGGCTAGTCTATGTCCCGAATCTGAATCTCCATGCATGCATCAGCAAGCATATATTTTGATTCACGACTCCGACTCTTGATTCACGCGATCACGATTGCGCCAACATCACTCGTCCATTCTCTCACTGCGACTGCGACTGCGACTGCGACTGCGACTGCGACTGCGACTGCGACTGCGACATATGCTGCAGCTGCTGCTGACCGTGCCGATTGCTACATGACCACAGCAACCAATTCACGTTTCGTGTCTGTCGCCTCGTGTCTCACTCTGGCGCATTCATGCACGTCCGTCTATGCGCAGACATAGCAGACCATCGCGACTCCTCTTCAAATTTGACACGAGATTGCTCCTCGTGACGCAGCAGAAGAGATGGATCGAGCTAGACGCCACGCACGCATCAGCCAAGCAGGCGCGTCCATCGCTCGAGCATCGAGCTATACCTACGATGTGCATACTCACGAATTACTACACCTGCATGCACTCGACTCCATCAGACTCACCTGAATCGGAATTGCATCAAGACGCTTTGTTTGATTCCTGATTGCTGGCATGCATGGGGTTCGGCGCAACTTGAAGCAGTCACGATGAGTCGAGATGCGTGGGACGGATGGATGATTGAAGCAGGCTTGACGGGCAGGCAGGCAGGCAGGCAGGCAGGCAGGAGATGCAATCAAGAATCGTGAATGAAGGGTCACTCACTCGAGCACTTTACGGCGATTTGTTCATCTATGCATGGCCACCAAGAGTTTATAATCGCCTGCACGAGGGCGAGATCTACAGATGTGGGCTGATGAAACAAGCAAGCATATGGTGGGTCACGGTCATCTTGATCGAGTGCATGGCAAGTTATGATTAACTTCTTTAACCGCATTTGTGATTCTCTATTCGTGATTGTGATTGATCTAGCTCGCACTCACGAGTCGAGAGACCGCATGACAGGCAGCAGCAGAGATTGTGATTGATGCATGTATGGGTGTCATTGCGCGTACGCAACTCGACCGTCCGCGTCCACAGGTGTTGCGCCAATCAAGGCATACCAACCCCTCCTCTCGTATCTCGTGACAATCCACCACCTCACACTCGTCTTGCGTCGCTCAATTGCGTCTTGCACCTCGATCGATCTATCGTTTGCCTTTCATGCTCGACGGCCGTTGGAACTTTGGTCCGGCTCGATGCAGCTATGAGCGCACCCTGTTGCGACAATTTCTTCTCCCACTTCAGCGACGGCGTTAACAGCAGCAGCGGCAGCGGCAGCAACACCAACGAGCAAGACACTCTCTACACGCCCGCTCCGTCCCTGCATCCTTCCCTCTCTGGCTCTCCTCCACTGATCGTAGCCTCTGCCACCCCTACCTCTGCCCAACCCGCTTCCGTGCAGCGCGTGCAAGAAGAGGATGAAGTGGATGAGCTGATGGAAGAGTCGCAGTGCAGCACACCCACCCTCAACGCGCTGCTTCACCCCAACCCGATCGCTCACCAGCTCAGCCAAAGCGCTGGGCATCTAGCAGACGCCACATCACCACAAGACTGCAATCGCGAGGGAGCGTCGACTCTGACTCGACCCGGCAAACCGCCTCATTCTGCACCTGCACCAATGATGAAAAGGCACAAGCTGAGAGAGTACGACTCGCACAACTCCAGTCACGTACGAGTCGATCATGCTGCCAAAGCTCTGTGGACAGAGTATGGTGCGCTCATGCCCATTCCGACATTCAGCGAGCTAGCGAGGCGCAAAAATGCCAAGGTGACCATGGCGACAGTAGCAGCAGCAGCAGCAGCAGCAGCAGCAGCAGCAGCAGCAGCGCAGAAACATCAACAGCCTGAGCGCCGTGAAGAAGCGCTCGAGATTGACACGCGCAAGAATGGCGCTCGGCGTAACAAAGAGGCAGCAACAGCGAGCTGCAAGAGGACAGCCGTTGCGCATGCATTGGAGAACGTGGATGCATCGCAGCGACTCGACCAACCTTTGGTGCAGAAGCTCGCTCTTGCTCATCGACCCAGCATCTCGCCGCTGGACACGGCAGACGAAGAGGAGAGAGCCTTTTTCCTCGCCCCTTCCTCATGCGGCATGGGCGACGACGCGTCTTCCGTCGATTCCTCGGACACGGCCGAACCTCTGCCCAGAAAGAGGCAGAGACGAGCGAGCACAAGCACTGGCGGCGAAGCGCACCGTCCGCCTGCCATCCTCACCTCTCTCAAGCTCAGCAAGTCTTCGCCCATTCAAGGTCAGAGTCGAGATGAGGTCAAGGTCGCCAACCAAGCCGACGTGACGGAGAAATATGGCAGAATCATAGCGGGACAGCGCAAGGGTGGCAGAGTTGAGCAGCAAGAGAATCCTCTTCGCTTGCCGCTCTCGTCCATTTCTCCGATCTCCGTCTTTTCAGCAGCTCACATTTCTCCTCTGTTGCAGCAGCAGCAGCAGCAGCGAAGCAAGATGACAATGCCCAGCAATCGTGAAGGTCAAGTCGTAGATCCGGGTCGCGCGCTCAAAGACGAGCCCGCTCGAGCTAGCAGAAAGCTGTCGAGCGGAGCGCGCCACGCGGCTCCAAGACCCCCCCAGCAGAATGCGACCTTCGCTGCTCAAGCTCGCAAACGCAAGCTTGACCGATCGACTGGCAGCCAAGAGCAAAGGCAAAGGCAAAGCGAATCATCCAAGCGCAGAAAGAAGCGCAAACGCAGCTCAAAGAGCCGAAGCGGCAGTCTCAGCAGCGCAGACATTGTAGTCGTCGCTCCAACTCTGAGCCACACAACGACGGCACAACAGAGCAAGAAAGTTTGCGAATCGAAGAACAGGGCTGCTCGTGCTCGGTCTTTGCCACCTGCAAAGTCGGATGACCTTGCGTCGATGAGCACGCCGTCACCGCCGCTGCAGTACAACAAGGACGCGATCCGGAAAGCTGTGGAAATGGATCGTGCGTGCATGAGCACTCCGTCGCCTCTTCGACCTGCGGCAGACAAGCAGGCTGGCGATGTGAACATGAACGACGATGGCGACTCGTTGAATACTCCATCGCCACCGCAGCACGCGCATACATGCGCCGATCGCCAGAACGACAAGGATCCGAGCCAGCTCGCGGATGATCGCGACGAAGTTTCGTTGGGCACGCCTTCCCCACCTGAAAATCGCCGCATGTACATCGTCCCAAGACAGCACAAGAAGGTGTCCAAAGCGCGCGTGAGCAGTGGTAATCAATCCTTGGATACGCCGTCTCCTCCGCAGCAGCTGCGAGCGCAGAAGAGCGCAAAACTCGGCACCAAGTCGTCCGATGTCGATGCTGCGGACAAGACGATGAGCAAAGATTCTCGCTTGCAAAGGGCACACGCGACGGCAAAGGTGGGCAAGAAAGCGGCCGATTCGGATCAATGCATGAGCACTCCTTCACCTCCAACGGCTAGCTCCTCGCAATTCCTTGCAAAAATCGTCAATGGCAAGACGACTTCGAAAGCGAGCGTCAACGGCACGGCTATTGTCCATCGCTCCACTTCCGCATTGCAGCAGACAAAGCATGCACCATCCCGAGCTCCTCAGGGTGCCAACACACCAGTGTCGCAAAGCAAATCGACTGCTCAAGATGCGTGGGAGCGACCTCCCTACTCCCATCAGCGCAGCGCCGAGGCATCCAGAGCTAGAGAGTGGATGCTGCTGCAGCGCGAGCAACGCGACGAAGCTGCCTCCGCACGGCCCGTAGGAGCGACGGGCAAAGCCCACAAGAATGCGCAGTCAGGCTTCGGCCTGGCGGACAGCGCGAGAGGCAGAAACAAATCGTGGACTCCTGCAGAGGATTTGATGGTTTGCAATGCGTAAGTCGTGGAGGGGACGGGGCCTGCGCGCGGGCGACCGTACCATTCGAGCGCATTGATGGGCTCACCACGCTCTCGTTGCGCGTCGAATCCCCCACCCAATGAACAGGCTCCAAGCCGCGTCCAAGCAGGTTCGAAAATCTTTGGCGAACAAGTTGGGACGTGCTCATAGCAGCACAGAGTTGCGAAGTGAGAGAAAATCTTCACCAGAGCTACGTTGCCCTTCCCCCTCTGCTATGGCCCCCTCAAAGCCGAGTCACAAAAAAGCTGATCCGCTTCGCATCTTTTCCCTTCGCAGTCGACGACATTATCTGGTCCGGCTTCAACAAGCTTCACGCCGTACCTGGACCTGCGCGCGGACGTCGCGCCTGATCTTCGACGCTCCATTCACTCACGCCTGCAGCACACCTCATGTTTGCGTGGACGATGAGGGTGCAAAAAATGCGTGACTCATTGAAAAGCGATGCGAAAAGAAGAAACACCTCGAAAGCGCCGCTGCTCTAGCGTGGCGCGAGTCGGGCATTTCTTGCAAAGACGTCTAGACACGAGGCGATGCGGTTCGCTCGACGGCGAGGACAGATCCGTCATCTCCTGCTACCGGCCAAGACCCCACAGAAGCAAGGGTCGGGGGTGGTCGAAGATTGCCCATCAGCCCAATCGCGCTTGCTCTGCGTCCATTCAAGGCCCATGAACGGCCCTGTATGCACAACGAAGCGCAAGATTCGAGAATGAAGATGCGATTGCGATGCTTGCATCAAAACGTCTGTGATGGGTGCAAAAAGACGACGAGTTCGTTAGCCCGTCACGCCAATGATGAAGTTGAAATCAAACTCTCACCTTTCGATGCACCACATCTCCATCTTCCGTGTATTCTTCTGCAGAGATCCACATCTACGATTTGCAAACGCAAGATGTGTGGAATGTCAGCGCAAGTCAACGCAGCGCTAAGAGCCAAAATTCCATCCGCCGACCGACCGACTGACTGACCTTTCTGAAGGTGCTCAGACCAGCCAAGATGCTTCCACCTATCCACGTAGCATACTTTCGCTCGGGCGGCGCAAAGATCTTGATGTGGGAGTTCTTCACTCCCAACCTCTTCGTCTCCGTCAATAACCTCTCTCCGAATCCTGTTGTGCGAGATCATGGCAATGCACGTCAGCTCGAAGGGACCACATATTTGTTCACGCTCACTGCGCACCTTTCAAGAGCGTGCTTCCGCCGCTGAGCACGACGCTGGCGTAGAGATTTTGCCGCAGGTCCAAATCGCACCGGTTGATAGAGTCGATGATCATCTGAGGTACTCCAGGGTATTCCAAGCCGGCCAGCGAAGGGTTGAACAGGATTTCAGGCGCTCTAAATCGTTCCGATCCGAGCTGAAGGGGGGAGGCGCGATGTGTGAGCATCGGCGTTAGCGTCAGCAACAAGAATCGTCACATTCTTGCAGTCAAACGTGCTCTTTGCGCACCTTGATGACATTCCCGTCCGGCAATCTGAACTCTTCGCTCGGTTTCGGATCCTTTTCCTCCTTGGCCGTATCGCTCGGCGCAACATAGCAGCATTTCTCCTTGATCAACCTGACAACTTCCTTTTCCGCCGTCGTGTGCAGATCGTAGCCAGCTTTGAGGAGGTGCAACTGCAACGACTCGGTCACGTCCCGACCGGCCACATCTATGCGCCTGATCGCGTGTGGCACGCTGAACCCCTCATATACCGGCACCGCATGCGTCACTCCGTCACCCGAGTCCAACACGATGCCTGTCGTTCGCCCTGACGAGTACCTGTTCAGGAGGACCGATCGAGTCAGTGCCCGACGCGGCCTTCCAAGCAGCCCACCAGCACGACTCACAAGCTGAGCACTGCCTGGATGCTGATGTACATGGCCGGCACGTTGAACGTTTCAAAGAAAACTTGAGCCGCCGTGTCTCGATTGGACCGAGGATTGAGCGGCGCCTCTGTGAGCAGCACGGGGTGCTGCCGATGGCGCACACAGTCGCACGCATCCGGTGTCAGCACAATGTCCAGGAGCACCTTGCCCCTGCCCGCACAACGCTCACCTCCTCGCTGAGCGTGCCGAGCTCGTTGGTGTAGACGTGGTGCCAAATGCGTTCCATATCGTCCCAGTCTGTCACGATTCCGTGCTGCATTGGATACCTGACGCTAAGCAATCCCCTCAACTCCTGAGCCTTTTTGCCAATAAACATGTCTCCCTCTACTGCGCCTGCCATGACTCTGGGATGCTTGGGCCTGCCAACACTGCGTGTTAAAGTGATCAATGTCAGAAGAGTCGCAAGGAAGGTGAAACGTACGTGCGGCCACGAAAGACCAGCGCAATTGCAGCTTGGAGGGGGGCGCCTGTCAGACTGAGATCTCCGTACCTCGCGCGGCCCGCCTTTCTCTGCCTCGCGAAGCGCATGCAGACTAGTCAACCGCTACCTTGCCGGCGGTAGTTCCTCGGACCTCCAAATTCGCGTCGCCCTCGGGGCCCCACACATTGCTCCGCATGATGACTCACTAGTTAGGAAAGAAGCATTTGGGCACATCTTCTCCTGCAAAGCCGGCTTTGATAGTTCCCGAACCTCCATCGAGCACGACGGGCTGGTTGAGGAGCACATCGTCAAACTCTGCAGGCATCGTGTATGCGCTTCCAGTGACGGAGATCAATCAGCGAAGCAATCGAAGGATTGAAGGAGTGGATGCGGACGAGAAGAGAGGGTGCAGGCTGTTGATAAAGTCTAGCCGCTTTCGTGCTCGTCTGGCACTTTGCTGTGCAGTCTCGAGTACTGCACCAAGAACCCCCTTACTGCCCGAGCACAGTACGTGGACGAAGGCGTCTTTCCCCTTCTGCCGAGCTGAAGTACCAGAAAGCAAGTAGGGCGAGGCAGAGACCTAGAGTACGATGATGAGCTAAACGATCCAGGATCGATACCCTCCAGCCCGTGTCCGCCTCGATTGTATGCGCCTCAAAGAAGGTGTGTTTGGGCAAACGCCAGACTGGATGCTTGTCCTTGTCGCCTTCCAGGGGGCGCGTCGTAAAATGATCGCTAGAACTCGTCGCGAGAGCAAACGCCTGGCGTTTGCACTCGGAGCGCGGCACCGCTCGCAACTCGATGCAGGAAGGAGTGTGTGTGTGAAGGTCTGACCGAGTCTCGAGTGTTCATCATAGGCACCAGTGAGAGTCGAGTCGAATGTAGCGCGGGGTGGTCATGCAACGCCATCGTTCATCATCCGCGCGATCAAGCTAGCCCGCCCGCGCGCGGCGCGGCGCAACACATCAACGCGAGCGCGTGCGCGTGCGTGGCATTGCGCTTCACGCGCCCACGCTATGCAGCCTGATCTTTCTCGTACGACAGCACATCGATCATTTCGCTTCGTCCTGCGCAAATGCCAGTCAGACTCCACAGATGATTCATAGCTAGCAACTGGAAGATCTTGAAGAGGTTGACTTTGTGACAAGTCTCAATTCACGTTGAAACGACAGTCTTGGGGAGCGGACAGACGCCTGCGCACGGCGATGATCACACCGATGCCAGGTGTGGCCAACGAAGCCCAAGATTCGGCATTGGAGATATCAGAAGCTGGATCAATGGACATCACCTCCAAGAGATCAAATGGCAAGATGGACGTGCAGGTGCAATTGTGGCATTCCCATAGGCTTGCCCTAGTCCCGACACACTAGCACTGCGCGATCGTCTCTGATCGAGTACAGCCACTTGATAGCAAAGACACGACGCACATCAGCCCAAATCAGATAGCGGCGACGCTTTCAGGAGACAGCACTTACGCAACGGTCAAGATGTGAGATGCTAATTCGGCAGATCAGTGGCAAGGACAGTCGCTCAGCGTCAACGCGTGTTCGATAGCACGCTGCGGGCAGCTCGAACAGGCCATCAACTCACTGGTCCACCACATTGCGCACATACTCCCGCTCTTCCCCGCTTCCCTCCAATCGCTGATCCTTACCAATCATAGCAGCGGCGCACAATCTCTTGAAAGCCGGTCCGACCAGGTCCACCGCGATGATGGGTGCGCCCGAAGCGTCTTTGGAGATCGCTTCGACGCACCTAGCAGCTTTGGCAGCTGCCGGTGCTTGCAGACGAGCGCGCCTGTCGTTGTTGCCCGATCGCTCCGCTTTGCGAGAATTGTTGGAAGCTCGTTCAGGCGCCAAATACTGAACAGATGCGGCACTACTGGGCGTGTGAGAAGCGCTCGAGCTAAACGCGGCGTTTGTCAGAGCTGCGCTGCTGACATTCGTCTCGCCCGCTCGCTGTCGACCAATATGCTCCGCCAACCACGCGACCAACTCGGCGCGAGGCACTTCGTTGAAATCGCCGTGCAGCATTGACCGCACTTTGCACGTCGTCGCATGCTCGGACCGCACCAGCACGAGATAGAGGATTCCTTCGGTCCGGCACGTCGCTGCTAGGACTTCTGGCGAAGAGGAGACCATGTCTTCGTACGCCAAGTCCGCACTGATCCCCGCTGCCCATAGCTCATGACACAGCTCCATGCGCTGCGTTGCCAGATCAGAAGAGCTTGCAGCGACATATACGTCTGGAAGAGAGAAAAAGTTGATAACAGCAGGTGAGCGTCGTCCACAAATACTCAGAGAGGAAGAGACACGGCTCACCACACCGCCTGGGTGTCCAATTGCCGTATGTCCGAGCATGTTCGTGATAGCGAGAGACGGCGAGGGCGATCCGACCTGCTGCGAGCTGGATGCCAACGGCATGTGGAGGTGCTTGTGAGCCGCTCGGGCTGGAGAATTGTTTGATGAGCCAGTCGTAGCGGCCACCAGAGGCCTAAAAGGAGACAGGCCATCGAGCGTCAGGTCGTGCCGCTGCTCATCGCCATGCTCGCGTACTCACAAGAACATCGCGCCGTTTGAAAGACCTGACCACTTGGAAGTGGCAAGCACCGCGATAGAAGCCGTTGCTGATCAAAAGCGGGGTGAACAAGAAGCGCCTCCTAGAGCCAAAGCGTTCTGCAGCCTTGATGACGCTCTCTATCTCTTGAACGGCTCGACGGAGGCGCGGTCGAAGATCTACAGCTACGAGGCGTTCGAGCTTGGGCTGGACAACGGCGATGCTATCGGACACGTTGAAGGATTCCAACTCTTCGACGATGGATCGAGGAAGGTGCAAATCCAATAGCTTTGCTCTGGCCGCTGCGGTGCCAGCCTTTGTAGCGAATCCACCGATGGCCTGTAGAGCTTTCTGATAATGCTTAGAAGGTACGCGCTCGAGTGCAAGATCCAACACATCCCCGTGCGATATGAGAACGACCCAATCTTCAGGATTGAGACCGGGCGTCGTCTCGAGCACGTCGTCGATGACTGCAAGCATTTCTCCCTCTGCTGCGAATGTGCGTTCGGGCGAGACGACGTCAAAGTCGATTTCCAAAAGCGATAGCGGTTGTCCACCTGCCAGAAGGTTTTGCCGGTAGACGGGATGCATTGTGTATCGCTTGAAGCGTTGGTTCTGGGTGCGCGCCGCAAGACGAGCGAAAGGAACGATGAGATCGTAGGGCAGCCATGCTACCTGACCCGTCTTATCGAGCATTTCCACCGGCTTGCGCGTATCATCGTACAGGTCGTTCGGAGGAAGCAAAAGAGGGGCATCCAGCTCGACGGCGCCGTGACGGTGGAATATCTGTCGCAGGTGATCACACAAGACGGCTACAAGACGATGGTCTTGCCCGGCGCTCTCTTCCGTGCCGGCATCAAAAGTGAAATCTCGAGCCCAGCGCAAATCTTTGGGTTCTTCGCGGTTGAAAAGAGCTTCTAGAAGCTGATGGTTGTATGCGCTAGACGGGTTCGACATGAGCCGCAAGCACTCGGCCAACACTTCGTCCTGCCGGAATGCACTCTCGCCTGTCAGCACCGGCCCGTCCGATGTGGAGCTCAGCCTGCAATGCTCACCTCAAGCTTGGCGGGGAGCAGATCACTCTTGAGCAGCTCGAGCGGCGAAGGACGCTTTGTTGGATCGTGCGTCAAAAGCATCTTGATGATTTTGGTCTGGGGCACAAGTTGCGCTTCTGGCCATGCGTCAGGAAACACGACATCCGCTCTTCTCAGTTGTCGGAGGACGCTCACGCGCTCCATGCCGGTTTGATACACTCGCTGCGCAGCCAGCATCTCGAAGAAGATGATTCCAGCCGCGTACATGTCTACCTTGGCATCGTACCGACCTCCGCCGCCTTTGGCTTCCACCTCGGGTCTGCAGTGATGGCGAGCATCAGTTCACGTTCGAAGTCTATACAGCTGCTGCTCGCCACTCACGCGATGTACAAGTTTGTCCCGACGTCGCTCGTCAGCTCTGTCGATGCGCTCAAGTCCGCGTCTAGTGTTCCATTCGTAGTCTGGGCCTGTCCGTCGCCGGCATGCTGCGCCGTAGTGGCGAGACCAAAGTCTCCAATCTTGACATTCCCGGAAGCCTCTATGAGGATATTAGAAGGTTTCAGATCCCGATGAATGATGCCGAGAGAGTCTGTTTGCGAGTCGGCAAGTCAGCTGCCTGCACGGCCAACAACGCGGACCCCTCAGACTCACGTATATGGACCAGCGCCTCTATGATCTGCCTAAATAGCCGCCAAGCATCTTCGAACGTCATGCCCTTGTCTATCGTCTCTCTCAAGGTTTGATTCTCAACGAGCTCCATTTGAACATACAGCCATCGAGGTCGAGCACTGAGAAGCGGTGGACTCGTCTCGGGTTTGTGCGAAGCTCTGCGCGAAGCCGCTCTGGATGCGCTCGGACGCTGACTGGCCGCCCGACCATTCCGAATGGAGTTGGTCGGGGTGACCGAGCGTAGAGCCAGCAATCCGCCGCCTGCCGAGCTCTCGTCATCGCTGTCATCCTCTTCATCGCTCGACTCTGCATCCGATGGCCCCTCGCTCGATTCGCTGCTGTCTTGTTCTTCTCCAAAATGGACCTCTCCACCTTTGGAAAAAGCGTCGTGGCCGACAGACAAAAAATCATCTGCGGCGAAACCTAGATGCAGCGACTCGTCGGCGTTGCCATTGCTCGGCCTGGAGCCCTTGGCAAAGCTTGACGTTGTAGGAATCGTCGAGCTCATCTCGCTACTCCCTGCAGTCGTGTGAGCATCTTCTTCCTGGATCCAACAAGTGGCATATCTCACTGCGTGGCCAAGGACAGTATGCGTCAGAATCCACCGCTTCTCTGTTCGCAATGATCTCCTTGGCACCTTGCCTCACCAATATAAGAATGATTGAGACGGGACAGAGCAGTGATTTCTCGAAGTGTGCGCTCATCATTTTCGACCGAGCTAGACAGCTTGATCTTCTTGATGGCGTACTTTCTTCCGTCTAGACGGTTCTGTGCAGCAAAGACAGCTCCATATGCACCCTTTCCGACTGTTTGCGGATGCACGACACCATCAGCAAACGGGTCGAACGCCGTTGAGCCTTCTGCCAGTGCAACTTACGCAGCTCGAGTTCTTGAAAATCGCTCTCGTACCTGCTCATCGCTCCACTCGCCCGAGTCGCTGCTGCGTGTCGGAGCTGCCAAAAGCTGCCTGGTCTCGTCGGTGGGACAGCCGATGGTAAGCCGAGGTCGTGCAGCCCCAGTGGCGAAGATGGGCCCTTGGCAGCCAAGCCGGCCGGCACCTTGAGCGCAAGTTCGGCTTGTCCAGCATGGGTGGCGCCTCCGTCGCCCGGCTCTCGCGTAGCGCTACCCGACTGAGCATGCGTGTCCTCATACGCGATAATCTCTTCCAAGGAAGCAAGAGCGTCAGCAGCGTACGGTCGCCTTTTGGTGGCTCGCTCCAGGAGGCTGGATATCCAGGTTCGCGCATGAGCAGGTACGCTGTGGACCGCTTCCTCAGACGACAGAGCCTCCGAGGGGCTCGCAAAGCGATCGTAAGCGCTGATTCCGAGCAACAATCGCACGCAGGCTACTCCCAAGTCCCACACATCCTTTTTGCGAGAATTAGTCGGGGCAGGTTGCGCATTCGTGTCGCCGCCTTCTCGCAACTCGGGTGCTTGCCATGTCGCTGGCAGGCGGTCGTTTGCCGAGGCGAGAGGTAACTGCGGTTCGCTACGTCGGAGAGGATGCTGACTGTTCAGCTCGCTTAGGCGACCCACGTAGCCTGCTCCTGCCAGCTTCGCACAGCCTGCCGCTTTCGATGCATCTCGCACTAGCTGTATGGTCTCTAAGCTGACGCTTCGATGGAGTACGTTGCTAGAATGGAGAGTCAGCAGACCCCCGAGCAACGAAAGCATCAGGAAGCGAACGCGATTCCAGGGTACGAATGGTACGAGCTGGAGCAGCTCCGCTGCGCTGGGCCCAGGCGACCTGTCGTGCAGGACGTAAAGCTTTCTTTGACGCAAAGAAGATGTTGCGGGATTTGCTTGGCTGCGGTCTTCATCCCTTTCCGAATCCGAGAAGACCATGGCGCTAGCTGCTACCGCGACCAAGCCCGGATGCCTGACGGCACGCAACCTGTCCAATTCCCACTCCACCTCCTCAAGTTGTCTTCGTCCACTAACCAGGGCGTAGTGCTCCGAATCTATGCGGAACACTTGCATTTCCCACGGAGCAGCCACTTGATCTGCATCGCGTTCTCGTTGCTTGCCCTTCTCATTTGCGACGATGGAGTCATCGGAAACGGGCTCGGCAAGGTGGACGTTCGCTAATGCGCCTCTGCGGAGTACAGGGCCTAGCCTGACTGCATGAAGCGGAGGGCGGTCGTTACCCTCTGGACCTTCGATGGGATCTACAAAGTGTACGATGCCTTGCTGCCGTAGCTGTTCGGAGCTAAGTGAGAGGATGTGGGAGGTGCTTTCGGATCGCAGCAAGCCGGGAGATCTGGCCGAGGAAGCGTCGATCTGCTTGCTCCTCTGCTTCTCCAGCTCTTCGGCCATCGCGGCGCTTCTGAGAGCAGATTGCTCCTCGATGAGCGCAGCGAGCTTCTTGGCGCGTTCTGCTTCCGCCAAAGCCGCCTTTTCGGACTGAGCACAAGCCAAGGCTTGCTCGGCCTGTTCGGCTCGCCTGGCTCGAAGATCTCGCTCGTCGTCGAGACTCTTGAGAGGATCCTTTTCCACTTTGACTTCGTGATGAGCATCGAGCCACTCTGCTGCAAGCTCCACGAGATCCCAAATCATCTCTGCGCCCACCAGCTGCTTGGCTTTCTGCGTCAATGCGCTGCCAAGCGCAGCTCGCCTGGCCGGGGTGATGCCCTTTGTGCGAGCATCTGCTGCCGGTTCTTCTGGACCGAGCACGCTGAAGATGGGTGGCAGGAGGGGATACCGACGCGGTAGCTTGAGCCTCACGACGACGGCCAGGTGCTCCTTGAGCTCCTCCGACCTGGGACGGAGCACAACATCGAAAGAAGGTTGCGCATCGCTGGCCGGTGCCGAGTTCCACGCCGTCCGGGGCGCGGGCGAAGGTGCAAAGTCATCGCCCAGAATGGAAGTCAGCGCTTCGATCTCTTGCGTCTGCATCTCTGCCAGCTCCTGAGGCGATAGCGAAGGCAGTTCGGTCGCTTTGGAGCTGCCAGCTCCGGATGGAGCAGCGGACGATCGATTCGGCATCGTCGCAGCTGCACAGCTCAGGGGTGTATGCGCTCATTCTGCTGCGACATGGAATGTGAGAGCGGCTGCACAGCTGCAGAAGTGGTGGACATGATGAAACATGTGATCAGGAACAGCGTCCCAAGGCGGGTCAAGGTGGAAGGCATACAATCCAGTGTGAGTGTGAGTAGAGCGGACCTTTGGCCAGAAAGCTTCGGGGTGAGACGTGGGGCGTTCATGCGTCATGCGTGGAGGCGAGGTGTACGGTAATGGTCACGTGAGCCACATCGCAGCGCGTCGACGCACAGCCTTGAACTCGTGACGCTTGCCTCGTTATTCAGGAACTCACGACTGCGTGACCGCGATCAGCCATGCATCTCGGGTCGGCTGGGATGCCGGCTACCTAACAGGTGCTCACAGTCCACCACGCCTGTTGACTCAGACTCCTCGCCGTTTCACAACTCTCGCAAGCAGCGACTTTGCCCTTCATATCGACGAGCTCCTCGGCTGGCCCTGCATCGCGCACAGCCAATGCGGTCACACGGCACTCGCCCGAGCCAAGGTCGCCAATAGGTGCAGCTGCATCGTCAGCAGATGTCAGCTGGGACTGTATGCCCTCTCATCGCAAACCCATCATGAGGTCCTCCTTGCTGTTCAGCCTTTTGGGCTGCGCACTTCTGCTCTGCACCTCTTCTGTCGCCATCTTTCCGTTCAAATCAGCCCGCTTCACAGCCAACGGTCTGGTCTCTGCAGGAAGTTTAGGACTGGGACCTTCGGATGGAGCCGTGGTCAGCTTGGGAGACTTTGACGCGGATCAATTTGTCGACTACGTCACCCTCTCTCCCGACTCTGCGACGATCAAGGTCTGGACTTGGGATCATCGTGAGTCGCTTCAGCGAGATGGGCTGCGCGCTTGTGTTGGAGATCATGCTCATCCTTGCTGCCTCCGCTCTGCGCGCAGTCGGTTTCAAATTCCGGACCGAGCCGTACGCGACGCTGAAAGCTCCGTCTGGCTGGTCAGTCGTGAATGTGGTATCTGCAGACTTTGACTACGATGGCAGGCTCGATGTTCTGCTCGTCCTCAAACAGTACGGCAGCCGCATGTCTGATCACAGCGAGACGCGCCTGCAACTGTGGATTGGCGACTCGGCCGGCGGTTTTAGTGAGTTGCATCAGCGCGTGGCTCGGAGGGCACTCCAAGTGCTGACATCGGGCCGCTTGAATGCTTGTAGAAGCGTCCCCGATCGAGCTACCTAGTGCTGGTGATGCACAGCCCCTCATCTTTGATGACACGGGAGATATGAAAGTGGACCTGCTGGGCCAGGCTTGGGCTAGTCCATCCGCGAGCGACAGTGCATCTTCCGGACTCAAAATCTGGCGCAACAATCTCGGCGAACCGAACGGAAGCTTCGCAATGTGGGTTGTGCTACGAGGCTAGCACGGAACACCCGTGGTTCTTGACCCAGCTGACAGGTCTGCCCATGTGACAGCGAGAACGCCCCTTTGCAGCACGCTCCTGGCACTGCTGGCTGCCGATTAGCCAGCCCTCACAGCTCAGCTTTCATAGACTTAGATGGAGACTGCTTGGCAGGTGAGCATGCACCCAAGCTGCAACCCATGTAGCCTCTTTGGCGAGCTGACACATGGCAACACGGACAGACCTGTTCCTCGTTTGCGAAGGCGAAGGTGGGCGGACGAGGTACGAGGTACATACCGCGTCCAAACCTAACAAATCTGAGCCTTTCAAGCTGAGCTTGAGTGGTCATCTACCGATGGGAGCGGGCGCACTAAGTTTTGCAGACATGGATAGAGATGGGACCATGGATGTGGTCTTTCCCGCCTGCGACTCGAAAGGATGCTCGATCAACATTGCGCACAACCGGCAAATGCCTCTATGCAAGCAGGAAGGGGGCTGGCTCGGACCCGGACCTGGCGGACCTACAAAGTCCCAAAGCAAACTTCAAAAGGCCGCCGCGAACGTCAGTGCGAGACAGTCGACTTGGTCTGCGCGCGATGCCTCCTCGCTTGCCGATCCTTCCGATGCGTCGAGCAGGAGAATTACTTGCCGGACGCCAGAGAGCCTCTGCACTAAGGACGAGGGCTTTTCTTTTGATTTTGAAGTCGGATCTGCCAACTCTGTGAGTGCCAGCGAATGACTACGACGACCTGATTGCTATGAGGAGGGCTGCTGAAGTATCACTCCGTTTGCATGCAGGACATCACCACGCTACCGCTGACAGCGATAGTGCCAGAAGCATTTCTAGCGCTGGACAATACCTTGGCTTCTCCCGCAGTGCCGCTCGCGTTGTCCATAGGAGACTTCAACAAGGACGGTTTTCCGGATTTGGTAATCGTCACACTTCCCGATCACAATCGTCCGGATCATACGCGTGTCAGACTGTTAAAAAATGTCGCTTGCTCACCTGGCAAGTCGGGCTGTCCACCAGAGGGATGGGAAGCGAGCAGGACCTTTGAGATGGTCACAATAGGTGCAGAGGTGCTGGAAACGTTGGACGACGTCAGAAGCGCCACCTTTTTGGATATCGATGAGGACGGAACCTTGGATCTGATGCTGCAACGACAGGTATCGGCCAAAGGCGGCGCTCGAGGCGCTGCTACCACGGTCACGTTTGTGCAGAACAATTACTTTCACGACGCCTTCTTTTTGAAGGCGGTAACGCTGAATGGGGCGTGCATCGGATACTGCGAGCCCAGCGACGGACCGCGCTTCAAGCCTCGAGCTGTGAACTATGCGGGCGCATCGTACAAATTCACAGTGCTCGATACGAACGGTGTGCGACGAGCTCAGCAAGTCGGCCAACTTCCACAACACACGTATCGATCGCTGCAACCGCCTTACTCTTATTTTGGATTGGGCCGGACGAACAATTACGTCGAGAGCCTTTTCGTTGGCAGCACGCGCAGACAGCCGCAGCACTTCTTGGCTATGGAAGGAGTGGTGCCCAATAGTCATGTAGTCGTTGTGCCGTGGCAAGATGCGAACGCTCCTGACGGTGGAGATCCCGGTCAGTGGCACAAGGAGCTCTATCTGAGCCCGGCGGACTGGATACCTGCCGTCACTGCTGTGCTGGTCTGCCTCATCTTGCTCCTCGCGACCATCGTCTTTGTGCTCCACATGAATGAGAGGGTGAGTCGGCGCACGAACTTGCGACTTTCTTCCTGCTTTGCATGCAAGCTGAACCCATGCGGCAACACCACACCCTCCCCCTCACCCCTTTTACCATTGCTAGCGAGAGGATGAGAGGGAACGCAAACGCGCTGTGCACGCTATCAATTTTGATGCCCTGTAATGATATCAGTAAGAATGGCCGATCACACTTCGCAACTTCGTGTGTGCCGTCTTGCTGCCTTCTGTCCGAGCGACTTGCTGCTGCTGCTGCTGCGGGACAGCGCACCGACACGAATGCGGCGGTTCATCGCGAAACGGTTGGTACGACGGATCACACTTCGTGCTCTTTGCATGCCCAGACAGCCTCGTCGGTGCCGCATTCTTTTCACGCCGACGCTCTGGATTCCCATAAGCCAGGTGCAGCCTCAATAACATCGGTTCACAGTGGGTGCCGCCATCCGGCTCGCACTTTGAACATGCGACGGTGAGAGTCGTGGTGCCGCTGCATGGTCTTCGGTGAAGCGTATCAAGACGATGTCCAACTTTAGCTTTACGTGGGCGCTCGCTGGTCCCTTCTCAATTGCCCTTCCCCCGCCACCCAAAACGTGCCGTGCGCCAGCGACAAGCCGTCATGAAAAATTGACTCGGATCATATTCAGGAAGCAAGGAGCTCAAGAAGATCAAGTGGGAAAGGGGGGTTGACTTTTTGCGTGGAGATTGCCCTCTGCAGCCTTGCTACAACTTCGCTTTGACTTGCTGCTCCTCCTCTTCCTCCGCCTCACCCGAGGCCGCGCCGCACTCTACTAGCCTCTCAAATTCTGCCGCATCCACACCTATCCATTCCCTGAGCACGCTGGCGGTATGTTCGCCTGGCTGAAGCAAAAGGTCCGGCGATTCGTCCTGCACATTATGCTCCGATCCTTTGGGCGCGATGGCTGGTGTGCGGCTCAGACGAGGAGCGGGTTGAGGCACCACCGGTTCGCCCGACGCGGCTATTTCCGCAGCTACGACGGGCTGAACAGCAGACAGCGACTCGTCTCGCGTCAAGACCGGCACGGCGCAAGCATCTGTACCGACGAACTTGGAGGTCCAATACTCGCGCGTCTGCGTCGCAAAGACGCTGGTGAGATATGCTCGAAGTGAGGGCCAGGTCGTTCGATCGTTTTGCGTCGAGACGGAAGGATGGCCATCGCGCGTTGGAGCGCTCGGCGTCGACTCTTTCAGAATGCGAAGCAGCTCTGCGTAAAAAGGGGGCTCGATTGCTCCGCTGTACATTGGCAAGGCGGGAGATCGTAAGATGAGTTGGCAGCATGAGCGGGGTGCGGGGGGGGACATTGGAAGCGGACAGTGTCGTTGCATTCAAGACGAGACGAGGCCGCATCACTCACACGCTGAACCACTTGCCATCTCTGCACTTGTACACGGCGTACCACGGAGCTCCACCCGTCAATGCGCCCGTCCCTCTGCTGCCCTCTGTTCCATCTGCCGCCACGCTTCCCCACTCTGGGTGACTCAGATAACTGCTGATGAGCAAAAAGGAGCTCAGATATCGAGCTCCCGTCACCATGTCCGACTCCACCACTTGGCCCTTGCCAGATTTGGAGCGCTCTAGGAGCGCGAGCAGGATGCCCAGAACGCAGATCAGCGAACCGCCGGCAAAGTCGCCCAATAGATTAGCGGGAAAAGAGGGCGCACCGCCAGCTTCGTTGCCCAGCATCTGATTCGCATGCGGGGAGGAGAGGAGTCAGCGGGCGGGCGGGCAGGCGGGCAGGCAGCCTGTAGGACGCTGCATCCAGAGCGCGTCAGGTCAGAACTCACCGACAGCAGACCAGAGAGGGCAATGTAGCTGCAGCGCAGCGCAGCAGTGATAACGTTCAGATTGTGTCAGTTGGCGCCCTGCGCGTCGCCCTCGCCCTCGCCCTCGCCCTCGCCCGCCGTTTGCCACTGCACTCGTGTCAGACTTACTTGATGTCGTGACCTGCCATGCTCGCGTACGGGCCTGCATGTATGTTCAAGTAGAGGCAAAGCCGCAGCGACGATGAAACATGTCTCAGCGTGGGCGCTGCATGGGCTTCATCGCCGTACACCACCGCGGGCTGAAGCCCGGTTGCGCACACGCACGCGCACACGCACGCACATCGCTTGCTAATTGCTCACCTTGCCTCTGAAAGCCAGTCAATCTGGCAAATACGCAGCCTTCATTCGCGCCACATCCCTCTCTTCCTTGCCTCACATCCTCCGGTCCCAAGCCCAACCTCTCCAGCACTCCGGGTCTAAAAGGATCCACCACCACATCCGTCCGGCTCAACAATCTTCTGATCGCGCGCAGACCATGCTTGTTCTTGGGATCCAACGCTACGCTCTTCTTGCCTCGAACGAGGGAATCGGGATTGAAAGAGGCGTTCACCTTGTCGATTCGGATCACTGTGGCACCGAAATCAGCGAGGATCAGACCGACCATCGGACCTGGCGCTAATCCTGCAAACTCCACCACCTTGAGCCCAGAGAGGGGCAGCGCGGCTCGAGAAGAGGTCATCGTTGGGGATGGCTTTGCCTTGCCTTGCCAGTGTTCAAGGTTCTCTCGCTTAATGCAAGGCTTTTTGATGATTTACTGACTTTGTTCGCTCTTGTTGGCTGATGGATGAAGGAAGCCAGAGTCTCGAGTCTGAGCGTCGAGCGTCATCAGCAAAGAAAGGATTCGATTGTTTGTCAAAACCAAAACATACGAACTCGTGACTGTGACTGGTGGTCAAGATCAACAGCTTCCATGCTGCAACAGCTATAGGCAGCAGACACGCGAGATGCTTGCACCAACCGTTGCCCCGCCGAAAGGTGCGGGGAAGTCAACCGGTTGCGGTGACTTTCGCTCGGTAAATTGCGTGTGCGCGTGCGCGTGCGCGTGTATCGCACGGCTTCACCGCGCGCGCGCCGGGGGCCTTATAGCACCGGCAAATATGACAGCCGGATGCGCGGCAAGTCCGCGGAGGTTGCATATGGTGACTTTCGCTGATGCATGTGCATGGCGTGGGCGGGGAACGCGTCGTCTGACGATTGCGCGGCTGCTGCGTGCTGCGCGCTTGCATGCTCCACATCATACCTTACAATCACGAATTAAGGCACACCGATACTCACACTCGTGACTTTTCACTCTTGACTGACGTGACTTCTTGGCTACGGCCGAAGCGGGCCGCGTCACATACGATGGGTACGGTAGATAGTCGTGAGTTTGTATCTGATTCGTGATTCGTAATTGAGCGCTCGGGCGTAAGGCCTTACGACTCTGACTGCATGCTCTCTTCATTAAGCTTCCCATCACTCGTCGCTTCTCGGAAAGCACATCACTGACCTTATAAAGACGCATACGTCCTCTGATTTGGACCGTCACCCAAACTTCAGCTGAATTCTCGACCAGACCACACCCACTCCTCACTCTTTGACCTCGACATCATGTCCATACCCGTCTCTGCGCGCTCAGTCTTGATCGTAGGGGTGAGTGTATGCGTGACTGCTTGTTTTGCTGGCAGACGCTGACGAGAACGTGTTCGATGGGGGGGTTGGGGGCCAGGCTGGACCAGGAGTAGGTGCCTCTGTGGCTCAAAAGTTTGCCAGCCTTGGACATCCCGTAGCCATCGCCTCTCGATCCAATCCTCAATCCCTGGCCGATTCCATCAACTCTTCCCTACCCTCGCCGCTCGTCAAGGCATTCTCGGTCGATGCCACCTCTCCCAGCAGCGTTTCGCAGTTCGTGGCGGATGCGAGCAAGGCTTGGCCCGATGCGAAGCCGCACGTAGGCGTGTGGAACCCTACGGTCGGGTTTGGTTTCAAACCATTCTTGAAGTGGACAGAGGCCGAGGTCAGGGAGGCGTTTGAGGGTCAAGTGTGAGTTGCACAAAATCGTCATTGCCTGCTCTCGCATGCGTGGGCTCCCTCTGCGTACCGTCGAGTATAGAGCGATCGCTCACGCCCTCCCCTCCTCTGACTTGATGACCGAAGCATCGGAGCCTTTACCTTTACTCAATCGCTCCTTCAACTCTTTCTCGATTCTCCTCTTCCCTCTTCTCCCCTGGAATCGCGAGGCGTGCTGCTCTACACCGGCGCAACCTCTTCCCTCCGCGGCTCGCTCAACTTTTCCGGCTTTGCAGCTGCGAAATCCGGCTTGAGGAGTCTGATCCAGTCCGTCGCGCGCGAACACGGCAAGGATGGGGTGCACGTGGCGCACTTTGTGATCGATGGTGTCATCGATACGCAACGCGTCAAGGGATTCTTGGGCGAAGCTGAGCATCCAGAAGATGTGAGTGTGTGTGTGTGTGTGGTGTGTGTGTGGCCAAGTGGGGCGAAGCGGGTGGGCTTCTTGACAACTTTCTTGCGCGCGCGCGCAAGTTGGGGAACATCCATTGCCCGCGAACGATGCGTTCAAGCCCCCTCCCCCACCCGCGCGCATCTGCAGCCACACTTCGCTGTGCCCTCGCAGCTTCGACTTGCGAGTTCGAAGCAACCTGGTGCTGACTCGAAGGAGGGGGAAAACTTGTTGCCCCCCCGCCCCTCCCATTCTCCCACAGCGCCTCGACCCAGATCACATTGCAGCAGAGTACACGCACGTCGCCAACCAGCCTCGCAGCACTTGGACGCACGAAGTCGACGTTCGGTGAGCTTGCACTGCGCACCCCAGACTCTGCGAGGCGTGATGCAGCAGCGTCAGACAAAGGAGAATTCGGTGCAGGCTAACTCGATCTTCACATCTTGCCACCCCCCCCCCCCCCCCCCCCTTCTGCGCAGCCCTGCTCGCGAGAAGTTCTGAAGCTGTTTTCCCCCAAGATCTGCGTATTGTTGTGCACGCCCTGGTATCAGAGGCAAGGTCAATGCGATGAGAGTTTTGCACTCCTGATCCGAGAAGCTTTGCGGAGCATTCCCATCGCACGCATCGAGCAACGAGCAAGGCGTCATTGCAGGCAAATCTCGACGATTCGGCTGCAATTTCTGGTGATCAAAGCAGAGGTATACTGACGAACTTCACAAAGAGAAAATGTCGCCGCCCAGTCGCATTCTCTCAGATGGCTGGCACGGCAGGAGTATCTGCTTGAGGAGTGGGCGGCAAGTTGTCTGAAGAAGGCTGCGTCTCTGGCTTTGATTCTGACAAACCAGCTTTTTGGAGTAGCACCTCTGCGCGCGTATGGTCCACCGTCGTCTTCATCCTGTGAGAGTAGAGCACGCTTCCTTCTGCTCGTGAGGAGCAGCAAGCAGCAGCATGACAGGACGAGGGAGAGGCAGAAGGTCGGTCATGCGGGCCCAAGAGGAATGTGGAGGGCGTGACTCTAGCCGTCGCGTATTTGTTGCTCACCTGGACTGATTATAAAGTCACCGCCAAGCTGATCGAATGCGCCTCCTTTCCACATCAGACTGCCGGACGTGGCCATGCCCCACACGCTGTGCAGCACGTCGCTCATCTTGCTTTTGGACGTGTCATAAGGCTGCGAGAAGGTTGCGGCGGGATGGAAGCAGTTCGAATCGATGGTGAATCATCCTGCACACATCCACTGCAAGCCCCGCTTCCAAACTCACGATATCACCAGAAATGTCTAGACTCTTGATGCAGCCCAAGGCATCGAATACTTTTGCGCTTGGATCGCTGACCATCAAGAACTTGTTGCCCGTCATGTCTTGGTACCTGTCGATGCCCTTTTCCGCCACGCCGTGACCGAGCACGATGAGTTGAGGAGCGTTGGAAGGAGCATCGGGAGCTGCAAGCTTGGAGAGTATAGGGTTGGAATTGAGGGAGGAAATGTATCCTTGGCACATACCTTTTGTGTTTCGCGTTCGAGTCGAATCAAATCGCGAAATAATGCGGGCATCGACGGCGACACGAGGGTCGGTCAGCTTGCAGGCTAGACTGGATTGATGCACATACATGCATGCTACCCGACGCCAGCCGCCCCTCCGGCCCCGCTGATGCACGGACCGACTCACCACAGTGATGATGACGGATCAAGATCAGAATGCTAAGTCTGCCACTGGTCAGCTCTGCGAGCGTGGTGCTGGATCCATCCTGACGCTGAACGGGCAGGCTCAAAGCTTTGCTCAGCTCTTCCGAACTCAGCTGAACGCTGTTCGGATCCGGTGCGGGCTGCTTCTGCTTCTTGTTGCCGAACAGCATGATTGTGGACTGTGCGTGCGCGAAGAGCGAGCGAGCGGATGAATGGGCGTGTTGATTGGCGATGTGGCAAGCTTGATGGGATGGAAGTCACGAACGGATGCTTGTGGATCGTGTTGGTATGGGCAGCAGCAGCAGTCGTGAGTCGTTGAGTGAGTGAGTGAGTGAGTGAGTGAGTGAGTGAGTGAGTGAGTGAGTGAGAGCCATGGAGTTTGCGCGCAAGCTGGCCGGAAATATAACTTTGCGGAGCGCATGCACGCAAAAGGTGGAGGTTGGCTTCACGCAAAGATGCGGAAACAAGCACGACACGTGACTACCGCTCAGACTCACAGATCGAGAATTATCGCCAGTGCACGTCCACGAGAGCAGGCAGGCAGGCAGGGTCTACCCGACTCGACCCGCGCGCGCTTCATGCTCAAGAATCAAAAATGCTGAACCAAATCGCGCCCACGCCCGCGCCCGCGCCCCTCGCTTTGCTCCCTGATGTTGAACAGCAAGTACAGCGACCGGCCAGCATATGCAGCAGCGGCAGAGCAGCACCAGACACCGCGTTGCTTGGTCAGCATCCCGAATCAGTCGGGAGCCGTTCAGCAGCAGCGCACCGCGCACCGCGCACCCAAGATCTTTAGTCAACGTAGACGACCCTCCCCGTACTCATTTACGTGACTAATTGTGTGTGGAAAGAAGACTCGTTCATCATCCTCGGTTGTGCCAGCTTGGTGTACAGCAGCGTCGCCGACGGGCATCCAGCGCAAGTCACCGATTCACCGACCCGGTCTTTCCGATGAGCGAAGTGTGTGAGTGCGCAGGGCGCCTCGCAATTTTGCTGTGAGCGCGCCCACGCATGCGCAGTCAGTGGATTCTTCTCGCGGCGCATGCATGCATGCATGCATGCGTCAAGCTGCGACGCGCGCGCTGCTCCCACCGTCTGCTGCTTGTCCGTTGGTTTGTGAGGCGCGCGCGCGTGGCCGAATTTGTGATTTGTTCGACCGAAGAACCGTTAGCAGCCAACCAAAAGCGAGGAGTTTTCAATCGGGGCTGCCGCTGACTCTGACGGGGGACTTGAAACCAATTAAGGGCTACAGCTAGCTAGGCAAGGGTGATGCCGCTCGCTCTCCGCGTGTTTAGCAATCCGAGACCTGTTGACCGCTGTTCCATGCGCGTGCAGCCGCGGTCAGCCAGTCAGCCAGAGCGGAGCGGCGTGCCGTGTGTGCGCGCGCGCGCCTGCTGCTGCTGCTGCTGCTCCGGTCCGACTTTTGTGATGAAGTTTGCACAACTATGATCAGAGCGCAATCGCTTTCCCCCTCCTTGCTTCTACTCCACCAAGCAAAACAAGCTGCACGCAATCTTCTGCCATTCTCACTTTTCGCAACAAAAGAGTCATTCCCTGGCAAAATGGGCTTCTCTGATGGAGATGTAAACAAGGGCGCTGGGTGAGTCGCTGCTCCTTCCCTCCTGCCGCTCCCCCCCTGCCTCCCCAAGCCCTCCTGGTGGCGCTCCACTGCCAGCTGGTCAGGCACGCAGTTGCGATAGCCTGAGTCGAGCCGAGAACCTGCGCCAAAGGGTTGCATTCCGGCCCCCCTATCATGCGCCGCACGCTGCGCAACTCGCCTCGCCTGGCTCGACCAACAGTGCTGACTATTTTTCTCTCGCGCCTTCACGCACAACAGTCTCTTCAAGACCCGCTGCGCGCAATGCCACACTGTCGAGAAGGGCGGCCCCAACAAGGGTGAGTAGAACGCAAGAGCGAGACCGACGATTTCGAATGGTCCCCTTGCTGCCCCGGGGTGGCGGTGATAGGGGGAGCGCTACACGTCTCGGCGCAGATCTTGAAGGCAGTCTCGTGCGACGCTCGCTACTCGTCGCTTGCAGTCTGTCGGCTTGGCTTGGAATGATTATGAAGGGCGCTCCCCTTTGCCGCCCGCCGAACCCGCCATCAGTGTGATCACACGCTGACCAAGCTCCTAGCTCTTCTCTCTCGCACCTTGCTCCTCAGTCGGCCCCAACCTCCGTGAGTGTTCCAGCTCGCCTCATCCTTTGCATACATGCCCGCTGAACGCGCTGCCATCATTCCTCGCCACAGACGGACTGTTTGGCCGTAAGACTGGTCAGGTCGAGGGTTTCAGCTACACTGCTGCGAACGTGAACAAGGGTGTTACATGGTGAGTGCATCACATGGGTCGCTCGGGCCGCAGGGCTATCTCTTATCAGGACGAGGCACGGATGGCAAGATTTGCTTTAACAGTCGCGCTCGCGTGATGTGAAGGACGCTGCTCGTCATCCGGAGGCAAGCACGAGCAGGAGCACGTTTGGTTTTTGACGGTGGCTGCTTTGCGCTCCACAAAGACGAAAGCAACAATGTGCTGACATGAACCCTCTGGTACGCTTCACCTCTCTTCGTGTAGGGACCAAGACACCCTTTTCGAGTACCTCGAGAACCCCAAGAAGTACATTCCAGGGACCAAGATGGCCTTTGCGGGTCTGAAGAAGGAGAAGGACCGCAACGACTTGATCACCTGGTTGCGCCAAGAGACCAAGTAAAAGGCCAGGCAGGCAGGCAGGCGCTCGCAACGCATCGCATCGCATCGCGACGGAATGATCGCAGCAACGCTCGCATCTCCCCTCTGTTGCCTGTTGCACACTTCACCACTCTCTCGCCCTCCTTCTCTCTCCGCACTCCTGACTCACTGGTCGACTGGAGCATCTGAAGAACCGTGCTACCGAACTTAATCGCATGGGAACACTGGATCACTCTTGCGCTCCTAGCCCTGAGTGTGGGTCCATTGCACACGCACGCACGCACGCACGCACGCTTCCCCCCTCAAAAATCGACACAAATTTGCATATCATAGACGACCATTTTGCTTTGAATGTGTGCGGTTTTGGGGGGGTTTGGGGGGAAAATGCGGTCCTGTGGTGGTGATGCTGCTGCCCGCTGACAGGGGGTGCGTAGCGAGCGAGTGGCAAGCGGCAAGCCGCATGGTTCGCGCGCCTGGCTCCAGACGCCAAGGATTCAATCGAGGCACAAGGCGAGGCGAGCGCCTCTGCTTCTTTCTTTAGTGGTCGACTGGGACACGTTCCAAGAGCAGTCAAGGCGAGGTGCGAGGTGGCGAGCGCGAGCTAGCTTGATCAGTTTTGACGTGGACGTGGACTTGTGCGGAGCGAGCGAGCGAGCGAGGCGGGGCAGGGCGGCATTCGATGAACCCTTTTGAACGAGGAACACGCCTTTGTTTTCCTCTTTTTCTTCTCCCCTTTTTCCTTTTTCTTCTTTTTGAAAAGTGCGATGCGATGCGCACTCGATCGCACTCGTTCCCATCGGCTTTCCTATTGCGCTCGGTCGCTCTTTCCGCTCCGACGTGTTGTTCGAGAGTCGCTTACACGTGCTGCTGCAGCCAGCCAGCCAGCCAGCCAGCCAGCGAGCCAGCGAGTCAGCGAGTCAGCGAGTCAGCGAGTCAGCGGCAATCACGCATCTCTATTCTTTGCCCGGGCGGGGAGGGGGGGGAGTGGAAATATTGTGATTTGAGAGATGGACCTTGCTTCATGCGTGCGCACGCCATCCAGCAAGAGAGAGGCCAAAAGAGTCAACAAGTTTTGCCCCCACTCGTTTGATCGTCTCGGTCGGTCGCAGAGAGGAGGCAAAATGCCTAAAAGTCAAAAAAAAAAGTTGTGCCGATCACGTGAGCAATACTTGTGGCTGTGCATGGCATGCATGCATGCATAGTCAAGAGTCGATCAAGCCTTAAAGTCACGAGTCTTGAGCGCAAGCGCAATTTTGAAATCTTGGAATCACGAATCAAATGCTGCGAAGAGCTCCCGAGCGAGCGAGCGAGCAGCTTGCAATCGTGAATCGTGGATTCGGCCAAAGCTCATGGATGGGCTTGCACAGAACGTCGCATCCACCTTCGCACCGTGCGATCTTGCCCCCGGCCTTCATTCCGCCCTGCCCCGCCCCGTCCTGCCCCGCCCCGTCCTGCCCCGCCCCTCCTTCGACACGGGGTTTGCGCAAGCACGACACACATTTGCAAGTGCCCCGAATATCCTGCACCTTTTTTGGGGGGGGCCCAGCTGGGCGAGATTGACGAGGTGCACAGAGGGTCGGCTCGGCTCGGCTCGGATGCGCTCGATCGCGGGGTCGATCATGGATCAGCAAGCATGAAGCAGCGATAGCGGATCACTTGGAGTTGCAATCGTGGTAATTCCGAGTTCGAGTGGGCCCTCGCAACTTTGCGCCCATGTGTGGTATCACTTTGTATGCTGAGCGAGGTGGGACCTGCAAAGAAGAGGTGCACCATTCGTCGTCGCCCGATTGGCTGCAAGCTCTGAGCAGGAGCAACAACAGGCGAGGTGAGTCAGAGTGGAGCGCGTGATGGCGTGGCGAAGGCACAGACAGAGCGAACGCAACGCAACGCAAACGTGCCCGCTAGTCGGCAGTCACTGCGACTGTCACTCAACTGTGGCACGAATCACTGATGGCGCACCACATCGCTTCGTTTCACCTTGTCGACAGGCCCGGATATCGCCTGCTCCTTCAACGTCCTCCTTCCGCCGCATGCACTACCACCACCAGCAACAGCAACAGCAGCAGCAGCAGCAGCAGCAGCAGCAGCGGTATCACCAACATCGCACCGATCGAGCGAAGCGAACGCGTCGTTGCGCTCCCCTCTGTGCGCGCGAGTCGTCTTATCATCCGCCGTCCTAGGCACGCGGGCACCCTTGACACCTCAGCCACTGATATCCGAGCGCTTCCTGCTGGCTTGGAATGGTCAAGTCTGGCAGGGATTGGATGCGCTGCGGAACCGAGGCATGGAGGTGCAAAGAAGATCAAAGGATCCTAATCTGCTGCGTTTGGATGCCGACAATGATGGTGCGGCATTGTTCTTGGCGCTGCATGCTGCCCTCGATTCGCACAGACATGAGCTTAGACACGAGGTGGAGCGCGATCAGGCGGCCGGCGGCAATGTTGGAAACGTGCTTGCGAGCCAACTGTCGATATTTGATGGCCCTTACGCTTTGGTGCTCGTAGACGTGAGTGGGAAGCGGAATTAGCGTCTTGCAGGTGTGAAGGACATGCTCCGACCTCGGCGCACGATCGCTCATACCCCAGCCAGCTGACAGACAGACATCCATCACTCGTATCATGCCGTACGTAATACCACGCAGCGCATACACTCGCAGGTCTACTTTGCCCGCGATCCTCTAGGTCGCAGATCGCTCCTCACCAATCACGCTGTAGCTCTCGACGAAGCTGGCCAGGAATCTAGGAGCGATACCGCAGCACCTTTGATCCTCTGCAACGCATCTTGCACCGAACTTGCAGCGGCCGGCATTGGCCTCCAAGAAGTCCCGCCTCAAGCATTGTGGCAAGTGGATCTGAGAGTGAGTGTCGGCCTTCACCTGCGAGACACATCGTTGCGTGGGCAACAGCAGCGGCAGTCTGACAAAATGCGTTCACATCTCATCTCAGGACCTGAACGCTAGACCAGTGCAGCACAAGCGCGACTCGATTGTGAGGAAAAATCGTCGCGGGCGCCGGCGTCAGAGGCAACCTCGCAGCGCACTCACGACTGCCCCTTTCATTGCGCTGCTCACGCGCTCCTTAGATGACACGCCCGCTCGTCATCAAAGAGATGACCAACGACCAGATGGAGCACCGCTCGTCTGACGAGTCGAGGGAAGCAGCGGTGCGTACTCTGCACAATGTCCTAAAGGAGGCCGTCCGGCAAAGAGTCGAATCGATCCACTGTGCCGCACAAAGTGACGCGTGAGTCGAAGACTGCCTAAAGCGCGACATTTTCCCCTCTTGACAAATTCGATTGTCGACTCACGTGTCCCGCTGGGCCGGATCATACCTTGATGCGCAGCCCCGCCCTCGCTTTGCTCTACTCGGGCGGCCTAGACTCGGCCGTGCTGGCCGCACTGACAGATGTAGTCTATCCGTCGCACCAACCCATCGAACTCCTGACCGTCGCCTTTGCCAATCCCAGAAAGCTCGCGTCGACCCGCTCAAAATGCGTCACGGAAGGTCATCAGGCTGAGTCAAGAGCGACTTTTGACACGCCCGATCGCTTGACTGCGAGGAGAGGAGTGCAAGAGCTGCGCGGGATCAACCCGCAGCGGGAATGGAGATTGATCGAGATTGACGTGGAGGCGCAAGAATACGAAGATCATAAGCAAGACGTGATGCATCTCATGTATCCCAGCAGCAGTGTTGTGAGTCGAGGTTGTATTCGTGCAATTCGGTGTCCTTTGACGGGCTGCTAATGTAGATGATCATTTGTCTACCTTTGGTCTTTTTCGCACGAATCAGATGGACTTGGTGAGCAGGCAATGATGAGACAGCGCACTGCGCCCCGTCAATCCTGCCGCTCCAGCTGACGCAAATTTGCGCCACGCCTCAGAGCATCGCAGCTGCTCTATACTTTGCTTCGCGTGGCGTCGGCTACTTGCCGAGCGACGGGAGCGAGTCCCCTACCGCGCCCTCGACTGCACGCACTCGCTACATCAGCCAAGCCAGGGTGCTCCTTTCGGGCTTGGGAGCAGACGAGCAGTTGGGCGGCTATTCGCGTCACAAAGCCGCTTGGCAAAGGGGCGGTGAAGCGGAACTAGCCAAAGAGGTGCGAACGCATGTCGAAGAGAGCGATCTGGCCCATCTGGCGCCGCTCTCCCAAAAGTCTTTCTTCTTTTCCTGCTGACCTCGTACCCAGCCCGGAACTCATGCTCCCCCGCGCAGATCCAGTTGGACATTTCGCGCTTGCCTTCTCGCAATCTGGGCAGGGACGATCGAGTTCTCTCTTACTGGGCCAGAGAGGTACGACATCCCTTTCTCGATAGAGACGTGATGCGCTTCTTGTGCTCGCTGCCGCTGCAAGATAAGATGGACCTGGCTGCGCCCGCTGGAGTGGGCGACAAGCGCATCTTGCGAGCCGTGGCCAAAAGTCTGGGCTTGCGCTGCGCTTCGCGCGAAGTCAAACGAGCGATACAGGTGAGATGCCGCCGATGGATGTTGCCCCCCCCGCTGCTCTGGCTGGAAATCCTTACGCTATCACGATGCGTCCGCTTATGCCTCGACCTCCCCTCTTCGAACGCCGCCCAGTTCGGAGCTCGCAGCGCAAAGATGGGACTGCAGGATGGACGTATCAAAGGCCACGAATTGCTCGCAGGCACATCGTGAAGAGGCAAATCTGATGCGCTCAACCTGTTTGGTGCTCAGTATTGCATTGCTTTGCCAGCACGGATGATTCAAGAGACGAGAGAAGGGAAGGGGG